TGTTAGAGGGAGGTAACAGTCTGAGATTACAACGTAAGGCAGAGATAGAAATAGAGTAAAATGATGCAACAAGATATAAGCCGGAACGAAATTTATTGGCTAACCAATGTCAATGTAAATATGATACTTACATTTGTAATGTACACAATATGAACATATAAATAGTTTTGTTCTACCTGTACAAAGATATGTTGAAATATACTTTTTTTCATCTCTGTATAATGTGACAAAGGAGGACATACACAGAGCAAATGAGAAATGTTGTGGTGTTAAAGAATGAGTTTATAGCATGTATGATGTGTTATTTTAATTTTTAACCAATATTTTTAAAAAGAAAAAAGAAAAACTTTCTGATAGAATGAAATCCTCCAATGGAAGTGGTATACCATTTTAAAGAAAAATGATCTTCCTTTTTGGCTTTTGTAAAATCCACTTCATATTTATGCCTGTTGTCAGGAAAACCTGTACACATCTGGGGGGGGGATGTGTAAGTTCGAGGAAAGATAAGTGTGTTTGAACCGTGTAATCTGTTTACACACTGCTCTTGGGTTGATCTTGTTGTTCGGTTTTAAACCTAGTATTTTTATGTATATTTTTAATTAATAAATAAAACCAATAAGAATCACATCACTTGAACAACAAAACATACTCCTTGTTTTTCGAAGTTGGGAGATTAAAAATAAATAAGCGTGAGTCACTAGTATTGTCATTCATATTAGAAAAGTTGATATTTATATTAGAAAAGTTTGAGTTCAGTGCTCGATTATCTTGGAGCAAACCCATTTGGGAGTAGATGTTTACAAGATTGTATCGCAAGACTGCTTCAATAAAATGGAAAACATTCGGGAGAGTCTCCTTAATTGACATTATGATTCTTCTATGATCTTTGCCTGTAGCCACACTGCAGCGCTAAAGCAGTTTGACACCATTTCTGTGGCAGAATCTAATTTCTAGTTTGGTGAGGCACAAGAGCTTTCTGACAGTTTTCTTTCACAAAACTGCAAATCCCAGAATGCCATGGCAGTTAAAGTGGTGTCAAGCTGCATTATTTTTGCAGTGTGGATGCAGTCTAAAAAGGCACAATTTCCCCCCCCTTTTTTTTTTTCTGCCTTCCTCTGATACAAAGATGCTGAACCCAGAGTAAAAATAAGCCTTCAATAAGCTCAAAACCAGAAATGTAGAAGGTAGGGGCATAGTGGTTTGAATATTAGACTACAGCTCTGGAGACCAGGGTTGGATTCCCAGCTCAGCCATGGAAACCCACTGGGTGACCTTGGGCATGTCACACTCTCTCAGCCTCAGGAGACAAAGGCACACACACATACACCTTGAAGAAACTTGCCAAGAAAACCCTATGAGAGGGTCTCCATAGTTTGATTCCCAGCTAAGCCAAGAAACACCCACTGGGTGACCTTGGGCAAGAAGTCACACTCTCTCAGCCTCAGAGGAAAGCAGTGGCAAACCTCTTCTGAACAAATCTTGCCAAGGAAAACCCTGCGATAACATACGCACACACAACACAACTTCCAGCAGCAGAAGCCATTTAGGGTGGGCACAATGTAGGACCACATTCAAGAAGAAAAATGTAGGGACATGCCCAAACTAAAAGCTAAAAAAACCCACACACAGTAATATAAATATAATTCCATGCTTCTGAGTCCTGCTCAAAGAAGGAGCAAAAATGGAGGACATTTTGCAATTCCCTCCTAGATAAGGAGGCTGGGATGGAGGACATGTCAGAGCAAAGGAGGAGGAGGACTCTCTGGTCATCCTGGGTGCCCAGCAACCACAACAGGCTCGAGAAAACTACATGTCCCGGCGTGCTTTTCTGTGGGGAGCAAGTTCCCCGCTCCCCTCCAGGCATGCGTACTTGAGAGTGAAGGGAGGAGGACTACGGATCCCAGAATGCCGCCAGGAGGGAGGTGCGCATGTGCAGGAGGAGAAGGGCGCGCGCCCACTCTGGAAGCGGGTCGGTTTGAAGCTGCGAAAAAAGAGCTCCATGGAAACAAGGCGGCGGCGGCGGCGGCGGCCATTTCGTGGCTCTGGCGGGGTCCTTGGCAGGTAGACCGGGACGGCGGTGGGGAAAGGGAGAACCAGGTAGGGTGGCTTACACTGGGCGTGCGGGGGCCTTCATTTCTGGTTAAGAGGGATTGAGAGAGAGAGAGAGAGAGGCTGCGTCCACATTGCAGAAATAACCCAGTTTGACGCCGCTTTAACTGCCCTGGCTCAATGCTGTGGGATCCTGGGAACTGTAGTTCTGTGAGACATTGAGCCTCCTCTGTCAGAGAGAGCTCT